CCTCCTTATATACCTTTAAAATTGTATAATTCATCTAGACTAGCGCAAATTCAACGAGCTTGAAAAACTAACTTTATCTTCAAGTATTGAGATAACTTAAAAATGCACTGGTTTATCAATTACAAGTTTTTTTAATATTATGTACAGAACAGTAGACGCAAATACAAATAGTGTAGAAAATGGTAGCCTGGGTATTACTCAGGAGGGAGGTTTTCAAGAATTGTAGTCAACTTGCTCTTGAGAACACGAAGACCAGAGAAGATTATATTCTTGGACTTCAAAGAACCACAAGACTCAATGCTGAAGTAAAATTTTGTAGGCTGCAAAAAAGAAAATAAGATTTAGAATCCGAAAGATGATGCCCACCTCCCTCAAAGGTTAAAGTGAGCAATCACATGCTCTGGGATTGAAAGCCACAGGAGCCAATTAATCCCCAACCCTTATTAATACTAACCAATGCTCTCCAATTACCGAAGCTTCATGATGCTAAAAGAAATCCACCCGTCAATACACAATTGATCCAAAATCCCCAAAATGAAATTTTTCAATCATTTGAGGGGCAAAAGGCAACAGATTTAACAATCGGGAAGGGTTAACATAAAGAGCACTCAGAAACAAATCTGAAGTGATATTCCAAACACTTGTGAAGTAATACATTCATTGGAATTAAAAGTTCATCATGCAAACTATTTCCTTTACCATCCCTAGACGTGAAAGTTGAAAGAAGGGAAGTAAGCTTAACTGCAGTTGTTCTTGGCAAGAAAAAGCTTAATGGCAACAATAAATCGATTCTAGTAAGTGAAATCAAACCTTCGAATCATACAAACTTTCCCGTATTTAGTTTTGTTTGAAAAATCCTAGAAATGAAATGAAACAATCCGTAACATTAATGAAGGCGATAACTTAAAAGCTTAGAATAATCAAATGAGGGACGCTGGCGCCAAAAGAAAAGCCTGATGATGCATAAAAATAAGGTTGAATTTAAGACAGAAAAGAGATGTAAAAGTAAAAGAAATGAAAACACAACCTTTCCAAATGGATCAAAAGGTGCTTGAGCAGGGACGTCTTTACCATCAAGACCGACCCCATCATTAGTTCTAGGTGGTAGCTCCGAATACTCTGATCTGGGCCAGTCCTCTGGATGTTGTAGAAAGGTATGACGCAAGGCGTTGTCAGGATCATATTCAAATCCAACACCCGCAGTAGGATTCCATTTAGCATGCTCCTTGCCAAATCCCTTTTTTGCATATGCCCGAATCTTCAAACGCTGGCCCTTTTGAACCTTGACTATCAGTATGGGTTCCTAAAGATAAAAAGGGCCTCAGAAAAATGGGAAGAATCCAATAAAAAAATTTATCACGATATTAGACTCAAAACTAACCCGTTTCACGTTATATGGACGGAAATCATCGTTATCTTCAACTAAAGGGACAGGTCGGACATCGGGGTTGCTGCTGATTAAGTCTGCAGACGTGATGTTTCTCTTGTTTTCAACTGTGCAAAATTCATCCAGGTTCAGTTCAACAGCACAATCTTTACAAAAGGCATTGCAAGTACAATCACGAGCGTAGATCATCTTATCAACAACATTGTCAGATGTTAGGGGAATTAACCCAACGCGCTGGGCTATAAATTCATCATTCAACATCGTGCTATTTTCAAGTATCTGAACCCAATCAATTGCTAGAGTAGGAACTTCTGCAATACATACTCGCCGGATGGCATTTGCGACACTCAAATCAGTGTCCTCAATGGTAAATTTAATTTGTTCATCTGTGAGCGACGTAACAGTTACGATGGACTGATTTGCATAAGGCATCCCACTTGACGAAAAAGAAGAGTACGGATTTCCCTCCTTCCAACAACGATTTCAAACAATAAATCTCACGATTGTCCATTGTTAATATTATTCATGAGTTCTTCTTAAATGCTAATTTTTATTGCCGCACGAAAATATTCAAATTTACTTCAATAAATAAATTACCATTTTTAATAAAATACCAAATTTGTACCTTTAAAAAATAAACTTCGACAATGACCATTATTCCTTTTTTAGATATATAGGTGGGGCGTGCGATAGACTTACCTCCACGTGGTGCTCCCTGTTCAACGTATCTTAGCACGGCAAAAGGTCGATTATTCGGCAGTTGATTTCTCACTTCAAACTTCCATCACCTCACTCTATGATATATTCGACTATTTACCGTACTCACCTCATATTTTCACTGCCTTTTTGTCTGTCTGTCTCTGTCACATCTGTGAATAATTATTCAGTCCCCCTCTCGACTTCTTGTCACTTTGATGTTCCTCCTCCTCTCTGTGAAGTCTTAAGTCAACTAAAGCGCTAATGATAACTATGAAAACGCCTGCCATTTGATATAAATAGATATATAGGTAAGATTTTGCTGATCGACAAAGTACAAAATTAATGAAGATTTTGCAAGTGTTATTTTATTTAACCAATTTGAAACGTTGATATAACATGATATATCTAGTATTGTCGCCTGTATATACCTTGTAGTGTATGCCAATCATGTTTCTTCTCTTATGTACGGATTAGAGCTTCCTCCGATTTTTTACTTTCAAAGATTTTAAATGAGATTATATTTGCCTCCTAATGTGCTGATCATATACTACCTTTTTAAGCAAATAATAGGTCAGAGGAAAAAATATTAGGGATTTTCAGGAATTTTCTTTTTTGTCTAGTGTGGATTCCACCCTTAATTGTCGATTGTTCTTCTGCTTTCCAGTTGAAAAAATCGATTTTATGAATTCATAAGCTTTCGAAATTGTAATTCACCATGGCATTACTTATTCTACTCACAAATTTTCCATTGCTGTTTGTAGTGTCTTGAAACACGTACAAATATTTACTTCATTATTAAACGTTTAATTTCGACTTCTAAATGAACTGGATAAAATCATTGAAAATGTGAACGATAATAAAAATGGTCTTTTAATAAGATTTATTCGCCTTTCAATTCTACATTACGCCGATTGTGAAAGCCATATAGCAAAATTAATTACATTGAATGAAAGTGAGGGTCGTCAAATTTCTACTCAGTCCTTATTCTCCTCCAACTATTTCACGGAGGCTGCTTAATGCCAGTGTTTTCACCAAATGGACTTATCCTAGATATTCTCCTAATGACGGTACCATTTGTCGCCATTCCTCATTTTGCATGGTTTCTTGTAAGTGACCTAACTCGATCACTACAGATGAGCATTAAGTTCTAGTTTTTTTTTATGAACCTGATGTTAGACATCTGAAATGTTGCGTGAAATGAATAGCCTCTAATCAGAGATTTTTCCAGTATCCCCCATGATTCTTTAACGTTAAGTTATAACGAACGCCATTCCACAAGCCTAAAGATATGACTAAATGCTATAAGATTTAGGAAGCTTATTGTAAGTATGGACTAGTTTCAAGGCAACACTTTCAATTTCCTGCGTAACCACTTTCCATTTGCGTCACAATCTACACCACAGAAGACCACTCAAACAGCTTTCCGAATCTGGAACAATTGGAATTGGCCCATCTGGGGGTTATGCAAGACAAAAAACACACAAAGTGACTTAAGGAAAGGAATATAATTCCTAGCACATCGACGCAGCTTGAAGATGCACAATACAATACTTGATGAGAGAAAGTAACCAGACGTTAGTTCCATTAATTACAATTCAAAAAAATAGCAAGAGCGTATTGCAATGTGGAATTCTTTAAATCCATGCCGCGTCGTTAGCTGAATTTACACTTTCATGGAGCCAATCGGAGTCATCTGCAGGAAACTGGGAGAAAGTTGGAGCAACAGATTGATTTCGCTTTGAAATTTCCTTGTCAAATTCTCCTGCGTCAATTATCCCTCGATGAGCAGACACGAAAAGCGGTCGACAATCAGCATCAAAGAACACTAAAAAGAACCTAACCATGGGAATATGAGAGTATAGAAATTTTACTTTGAAATAGACCATTCTAGGGTGCATACCTGGGACTATTTTCGTCGGATCTTAAATGAAGTTTTTCACGTATGGTATTTATAAGAGTTCTGTATTTGGAAGGCTCTGGAAGAATTTTGTTTACGAGATGATCAGCAGTCCAGTAAACAGTGCTTGGAGACCCTGGTGAATTGCAAGGTATAAATAAATGCAAATTCTTCTCATTCGGTTCGACGGCACCAATCATATATTGACCATCCTGAAGTTGTACACAACATGCATTAATTGCATGTAGTCCTAAAGAATAAACAATGATGTATTTAAAGGTATATAAAATGGCAAACGATATATAAAACATACGGTCTTTAACGGCATTCACTGCGATAGCAATAAAAGAGGACTGTTCCAAGGATTTCACGACTTTGAAAGAATTTTCTTCTAACTGAATTCAAATTCAAAATAAATAACATAGATGTCATAAATTAAATAGCCTGAGCGACCGCATACCATGTGATCCATTTTCGACCATCATTATGAAATGAAAGTAGGCTAGCCAGTATATCTCACTAACCAATTATATTCAAGCAATTGCTCTAGGCGCAGTTGGTGTTCAGGGGTTGTAATATCCTACAGCATCCACTCTGGTTACTATCATTCATCATCCTACCTGAAACGCAAATCAATCAGGTAGCAATATTATTTGTTTTTCATTTTCCTTAAATTTTTATTTCAACAGTTTCGCTTTTACTTAAGTATCGTATGGCTTTGCTTCTGCTCTAATTTCACTTATTATAACGCCCCTACCATATTGGTTTAACAGTTAAGAAGAGTACCATTACACTACTGTATGCTTAAAGGCTGTAGTTTTTTTGTAAAATTATGAATCAGATGCTTTTAAAATGGCCGAAATCACTTTGAATTTTAATGTAATCATTCAAATCATGAAAGACGAAGTTGATGAAATGCTATTATTATTGCCATATATTGCTAGACTAACAAACCTTGACTTATACTCAATAATCTTTGTGACAAGTTCTCCTCTTTTGGATTGGCTTTCGGACTTAGCTAGGCTATCGAGTAAACAAACGTATGATGTGTGTTGACTGACAAGGAGGTTAGTCATTAAATACACTTTCGAGTACGATGGCAAAATAATGACTTTGATTTATGACTGATCGAGAGATCTCTGCATTCGTGAACTCATTTGCTCATTAGCGTGATTCGCATCACAACCACTTGCTCTATTTTACTTCAACCATGATAATGTTGTCCTGATTAGCAACCAAGCACGCATTTGACGGACTGAATAACGTCGAACTTTTATTGACCCAATAAATTTTTATATTTAATAAATACTTATGTAGTTCAATCTAAAGAATTGGTTTGAACTGACATCTCGTCCAGTTTATAAAAATTATCCCACTTCGTGTTTTTCCGAAACGTAAACTATTATTGCCCTCTTTCCTAAGGATATATTATGACCAACAAAATCAATAAGTTGACAAAAGCATAAATCACTTTAAGACACTTTTGATATGCTGATCTTATTGGCTCCCCTGTTATGAGGTGCATTCATATAATGGCACCACGTCTTGTATGGCGCAATTTGCCTATGATTCTTTGTTCATCTTTTGCATAATGAAAAGTCACATTTTCAAATCATTTCAATTCCAGCTTTTCTTCTGCTGCTTAGTAAGGTGTAAACCAATTTCCGTCTTATGTAAACTTAAAACCTACGTAACGAGAAAGCTATTACTGCTCCCCCCATAATTGAACACATGAAATTGGTCGTTCTTATGACAAGATGTTCCCAGAGACACAGTCTTCAACACCTACGAAAATAGGCTGGGATAATACTGTAAGCCCCAGAACCGAAGAAAGCAATAAAACTTCCTGACAAATCAGAAAGCCTCTCTTTGCCCCAAAACCCATTAGCAGACACCGAAGGACAATTTTACATCTAACTTCTTGCCCATTCCTGGAAAGCAGATCCCCCCACGCCCAGATCAAATGCACTTATTGGCCCATGAGACAATGTAAACTATCCTGCAGATCAATGGCTCCACGTCTTTATTGACGTGTCATACGTAGAAAACCAAGCAAAAGTTTAATGCAGGTGTTTACTCTGAACTATTCTCTTTATTCGCAACAGGGGGGACAAAGTAGATCCGCTTTCGAAGTAGAAATGGAGGCCATTAAGATGGCATTAGGCCAATTATGCTGCCTTGAAGCAAAATTCACCAAAGCAGTAAATCTTTAGGACTTGCAGTAAGCAATAAATTCAATTGGAAACAGAGATCCACCTAAACAGCTGAAATACACGAAGGTAAAGAGAGAAAAAAACCATGCATTCGTTTTTCAGAGAATGTGGAATTATAGGCAATGAGCGTGCTGACGCATTTGCTAAGAAGGGGACAACGATTTTGCAATGCATGGACCGGCCGATGTCTTTCCACACAATGAAGGCCTTAATCAGGAGAGAATTCAAGACCTCAAGGTGCAACGACCTTTAAGCTCGAACAAAGGAGAAACCGTGGACAGTGTCACTCTCCGACATAGCCGATTGGCCAAGAATCGAAGCCGTTGCTGAGTTCAGACTACGCACCGGACACGATTGTTTGGCTAAGCACCTTCACAGATTAGGAGTATACACTCAACCAACATGCCCCTACGTAACCTACAGGAAGAAATGGAGAAGACCCACCTAATACGTGTAGTAGCCCTACAGACAACGGCAGTGACCCAAAGATACTGGGAAGCCAAAGTCAACAGATGAACTACGGCTAACTATCCTAAAGCCTATATACGTTCCCCCCCC